TATCTATCTATCTATCTATCTATCTATCTATCTATCATATTTATATAGCTGCCCATCTCACACAAACTGACTCTGGGTGGCCATATTACGGTTCACGTTGCCCAAGAATAAGCAGAGAGAGGGCTTTTATTTTTAGAGAGTCAAGTCAGAGCAGGTTCAAGTATTTCCCATAAAGACACTAGCAGGTTATATCTGTCATGCTGTCTCCTCCTAAAGGAAAGCCAGGCTGTAGCTGCTGTAAAAAAAAGCCACTTCTCAGTTGGAACTGAAAAATTGCCACAATCCTAATATCGTCATGCCTGGGATGATGTTGCCTTAAGAAAAAAATACTGTAGACCTGCAGAAGATGTAGAATGGGGCCACCCTAAATGTAAATACTGTTTGTATTTGTTAAATGTTAAGCAGTACACCTGCCAGGAAACAACCCCCGGCTTTTTTAGCTTAGAAAAGATTGGCAGGAAAAGATGGACATGACAGAGGTGTGTGACAATTATGGCTGGACAGATGTTTTCCCCTCATATTTCTGGAACAAGGGATCATAAAATGGAACTAAACAACAGGAAACGAAGCAACTAGAATAAATAACACATACTTGGTTAATTGTGCTTGTTTTTTCATGTCTATGACCATTTGAATTCCGAAATAAATACATATTTAATGGATGGGTAGACTACATTGACTTGGAGTTTCCCCAAAGTGACTCTTTTGAAATGTTCTGTTTATTTTAAAAGAACATGGATTGTCAACTAATTCTACAAGTTAACAAAACAGTAACTTTTGGAGGTAGAAAGGAACAGACTGTCCAGTGCCCAACAGATCTCTCTCCTCTGCATCCAGCAAAGTGGAGCCTGTTCCCTTCCTACTGAGTTGATTTCACAGTCAAGCAGCTCTTACCATACTAGCAAGCTCTCCCTAACATTCAACAGTATTTTGACTACATGTATCTTAAGATGTAAGAAAGTTGAAAAACAGGTAAGATTTTCCACATGACATCCCTTCAGATACTTAATGAGGGCTCCTCTATCAAGCTGAGACCTACTTCTGTCACGTGCTCTTGCTAAGCCTTAGTGTCATAATCAGCAGCAGTGCCCTTATTTGAACTTGTTTGCTGGTACTCTTCTTAACACAGTGATTTATTTATTCATTAGGCTGTGTACAGTGGTGCCCACAGGGAAAGGATTACAGTGCGCAAGATGGCAGGTATGGCATCACAATCAAATCCCTGCCCATCTTGCACATTCATGATGGCATACATAGCTCTCCTCCCATTTTTCCCAACAACTGTAAGGTAGGTTGGCCTGAGAGAGAGTGAATGGCCTGAAGTCCACCCAGTGAGCTTCCATGGCTGAGGGGGAATGAGAACCTGGGTCTTCCTGGTTGCCAGTCCAGCACCTAGAACCACTACCCCGCACAAACTGGACACAGTATTTGTGGTGGGATCTGAGGGAGGGATGCAGAATAGACTAGAACAATTACATCCCCATTTTAGAAATGCCATTAATGCAGCCTAACATTGCATATACTTTTTTCCTTCTTTTTTCCTCTATGGCAGCTTCAAGGCAGCTCCAGGACATTGCTGACTCATACTCTGCGTGTGATCAACTATAATTCTAACATTCAGATTATATACACTATTACCAAGCAGGTATCCTTCACCCTATAGATTTGCGTTTTATGTCTTTTTTAAAGATATTTCAGTATTAGAACTGGGGAGTAATGTGATGGAGGGGGCTTAGGAAAATAAAGCTCAGAGACTTTCTTCAGAGCAGAATTGCCGATGCTCTCTACTTAAGCACAACAGTCACTAGGACAGAATACAAAAATGGTTTTCAAGATTTAGTACTGTTGGTTACAGTTTAGCCCCAGGGAATGAGAAAAATAAATTATTGCTCTCTATGATGAGGTTCAGGTTTTTATTTGACTGTAGTAGTTTGTATAATAATGCATTCACAGGGTTATCTGCACTGCATTTCTCCTCACAGGCTAAGGATTGTGATTTGCCTGGATGAAAATGTGTTGTTGAATCTACCTAATTCGGTGGTGCTTCTTACTCCCAGATAACTGTGCCAGAAGTGCAGTTATACCCCATCATGGATTAGTATTTTTGTGGATTTCTTTTGTTTTGTTTGTCTCTTTTAATACAGACATTTTTAGTTATTTGGATTCAAGAAATTGTCTGGGGCAGGTTCCTGTAGAAGGAGTCTCTTGACTTAACAGTTAAGGTTATTAGAGCTGAGCTGCAGAATCCAACTGGCCACTAAGTGGCAGGAAAGCTTTAGGAATTTTCTAGGTCTCTTTACTGCCATATAATAATCATCCAGTTTTAGCAGCCTAGATCTGGTAGCCCTATCTGCATTTGCTTAGCCAATGTTCCGTCACTTTCTTCGTTCACTGCCTCTGTTAGCAAAATTCGAGATTTTCTGACTCTCCCCAATTAGGATTCAGTCTGGCAGAAGATCAGACACGAAAACACCAGCTGAGATTTTAAAGTTTTATTGAAAGCAGGCCA